ACTTTGAGTGCAACTTCTTTCCACTTGTATACATTATCTTCTAAGTGTAAAGCGTATAACTTTCTATTGGTACCGGGTTTACCGAATCCTTCTGTGTCTCTAAGATCGGAAAGGGCAATTGTATTACATCGTTTAAGGTTATGCACTCCAGGGCCAAATGAATCAACCATTATTTATAATATGGAGCGTTACACTCAAGTATCCTATATGTACTGGTTGATGTTTTACATCTAATACAGAAATTTTGAGGTCTGAAATAATACCCCGCTTTAATTTTTTTTATTGTAATGATGAGAAAGATTCCGTTCTACCGCTATTATGTTTTTCATCTTTGACTGGAATAGCTCTCAGCAGAGTTGAAGGACTTTCGAGTTGAATATTATCCATTGTACTGATTTGATCAAGATGGATGCACAACTCTTTATAGGGAACTACATCAGGCAATTTAGTTCCATGCACTGTTTCATTGGGTAGTATTATTGTTTTTCATCTAAAAAATCCAAGTGTATCTGACAAGTATGGGAGAAGATTTACAACCTTTTCTCCAGCGCTTAAAATCAGCATCCCATTCGACTCATTTTGTGTGAAACTATGTCCAAAAGGCTTAAAAATTTCATCATTGAGTGAGCATACGCTGTAATACCCATCAGATATAATGCGCCAGTCTATACCCAGTATTAACTCATTATTACTTCTCGCAGCACTTACATTGGTCCACCGCGGGTAATATGTTACATCGCATAGAGCGACTTCAAGTTGACCAACCGAGTAATCGATAACGTGAAGCAGTTAAATAGACTGGCCATTTGTTATTCCTGGGAGTGTAACAAACATATTAAATATACAAAGATACTATATCATAACTTAAATATGAAATCAACTTACATTACTAATCAATCAATTTTAGTAAGTGCCTCTGGTGCTAATTTTTTTGGTTAAATTCCCTGATATCTTTGAAAAAATATAGGGTCACAGCAACTTGCGATAAAATGGTGTATGATTGGTTCCACAATCCAAAGCAATTTTGGCAGAACCAGTTAAACTTTACCATATGGTGTGCCACAACAGGATGTGGTGTATCTCTTAATGCCCCAGGATTTGAACTAAATAAGTCTGTTTTATCATTTCACGTGTACTATCAGATTAGACGTATACTTAAAGAAATTAGTGCACCATTACCGCAGGATCGAGCATGGAATGCATCAAATAATCTGTAAATAGGTTTGCGTATGAACGTATTTGTCAGGAATTTAATATTTCTACGAGTAAAGATTGGCGTCTGCATGGAGTTAACCATGGTCTAGGTATTCCATACGCTGGTGCACACTCTGTTAAAGAAGTCAGCGATGATTTACTGAAAAGAGGTCGGCTTCTTCGGAGCTTTGCTCTCTCGAGTAATGAGTGGAGAGATGATCGTATGAACTTTAAGGGCGGTGTTGCTTTCACCGTCCAAAAGGTTGAGCAACCACCTGGAAATGCTTGGAATGAATTTCTGTATGTTAAAACAGAAAATACTTTTACAAACCCAGGAGTTGTAAGAGTTAATGAATCAATAAAAACTTATGTATGGGCAATTCTTGGTGCACAATCACAAACACGAACGGGAATAATTGGTTCAGAAATACCGAAAACAATACTGAATGTAGTTTTACGTACAAAACTCAAGAACATATTCCTTGTGGGTTTGGATACATAGTTGTAAGGTATGATGGAAAAACAAACCCAACCCTGATTTATAGAGGCCCCGATGCAGCGGGAAAGTTCCTAGAATTCCCACAAAAAGAAGAGAGAATATCAGGGTAAAATAATCGCATAAGAAACCCATGTGTATGACGGGAGATGATTGGAGGGCCTATAAGAAGTCGGCGATTTGTCATGTTTGTAATAAACCACTCAATGGGGATCCGTAAGAGATCATTGTCACGTCACAGGGAAATTATCGGGGAGCCGCGCATAACGAGTGTAACTTGAAACTAAAAATGAATTCTTAAACAATACCCATCCCTGTTGTGTTTCGCAACCTTAGAGGATATGATACCCATCTCATTATGCAAGCTATCTCAAAGACATATGGTGGCTTAACGTGTATTCCTAATAATATGAAAAATACATATCATTCTCGTTGACTAAAACTATACATTATACAGACAAGGATGGGAAAGCTAGAACAAAGCAAAGTCAACCTTTACCCACGGGTGGTTTTGAGTGGGTCGATGTGAATGATATCGAAGTGAATGATATCCCCTTAGATGTGAATAAAGGGTACATACTAGAAGTTGACTTGGAATATCCAAATTCATTACATGAAGATCATAACAGTTATTCGCTAGCTCCCGAAAGATTAATGGTTAATAAAGATTGGATGTTGGAATATCAACACTCCTTGATGGGTAATACAAGGTTAGCTAACGTAGAAAAACTCGTACCAAATTTGATGGATAAGACAAAATATATAGTTCACCACAGAAATCTCCAGCTATATCTATCATTAGGTATGAAACTAAAGAAAATACACAGAGTTCTAAAGTTTGATCAAAGCCCTTGGATGGAACCCTATATAAGGCTGAACACACATTTAAGAAAGATAGATACCAGCGATTTTGAAAAGAATCTATATCAGCTCATGAATAACTCAGTATTTGGTAAAACTATGGAGAATCTAAGGAAGCGTGTTGATGTTAAATTAGTCAGATCTAATGAGGAAGAAAGACTCAGGAAACTTATAGCCAGTCCGGCTTTTAACAGAAGCAGGATATTTGATAAAGACTTAGCCGCACTACATATGCAGAAAAGTAATATCAAATTAAACAGACTGGTGTACGTTGGTATGAGTATTCTTGACTTGTCAAAACACTTAATGTATGACTTTTATTACAACGAACTTAAGAAGCAATACGGTGATAGATGCGAGGTGTTATATACCAACACAGATTCTTTGTTGATGGAAATACAAACCGAGGATGTGTATACAGATATGGCAGAAAAATTAGATATGTGCGATACGAGCGATTACCCAAAAGATAATCCACTGCACAGCATAGTAAATAAAAAGGTGTCAGGTAAGATGAAAGATGAATTTGCTGGGACCCCTATAGCGGAGTATGTCGGATTAAGACCTAAGATGTATTCTATAAAGAAGTATGTTGTAAAAAAGCATATCAAACACGAACAGTATAAAGAAGCATTATTCAACGGTAGAACGTTCAAACACGAGATGAACTCTTTAAGAAGTTACAATCATAGGATATATGGATTAAGAATGAACAAGACATCTTTATCCCCCTTAGATACAAAGAGATGGATTGATAAGGATGGTGTAACTACCTATGCTTATGGTTATGGCGGTAATACTATATCGTTGGGAACTATGAGCAACTCTTCTCGTACAAATGCCCTGCCCGGTCCATCTTTAAGATAATAAAGAATAGGCTCTCCTTCTTTCATAACCAACCGACTAATCTTATATATCTTAAGGGACCAAATCAGATCGGTTGCACAACGTAGGCCTCCTTCGAGTTCGACGGGTTGGTATAAATATCTTACACTTACTCTATCCGGAAGTTTTTGTTCTTTGCCTCTCCTCGGGGCTGAAGATTCGGAAGTCACAGATTTCATTTTAATCGCATCAGGTGGTTTCTTCCCGATTAAAGTCGTTACTTCATTATTCAGCGCTGATACAAAAGCTGATAATCGTGTCACCCATTCGGTTGATCTTAATCGTTCCGATTTCATTTCAATCCCATACTGATAGCCAAACAAACATTCTGCTAATGTCCGGTTAAATCTTTCAACGATAGCTTGACTACGGTGGGCCTCTTTTTCACCACGCCTGATTTCGACATCGTGCTTTGTTAACAGCTTAGTAAACCGATCCCATAAACTCGCGACCTGGATCTACTTGAAATAACTTGGGCCATTTTAGTGGTCCGCGTTTATATATGTGACTCAGTGCATTAGCTACTTCTGTTGAATCTTTCGAGGTTAATGGCTCAGCCTCTTTGTATCGACTAGCCACATCCACTACGGTTAAAGCGTATTTATATGTTTTGCGTCTTATCTTATCATGGGGAAGAAACAAGAGGTCAGCCTGATGAACTTCATTCGTTGTAAAAATATCAAACTTCTTCCTCGGTATATAACGCGGTGCAGGTAAGTATATTTGCCTCATCGCTTGTTTCTTTAGACAATCCTTGGCCACATCTTTAGATACCTTAGTCGCAGTGGCTAATTTTTGTACTGCTTCTATACATTTCCAATATCCTCGTGGGCTATAGTAAATTTTATCCATTAATAATTAAAATTGATGTTTCTTTTAATAAAATCTCATGACGATTGTTGAATCGCACCATCATTTTTGCATAAAAAATTCCCTCTGTAGTGGTGGTATAGGTATATAAATCTGGCTCCAGTGGAAGTGAGCCAGAACCCTATCATCTATACTACTTATGGCAGCAGGAGAATTGCTGTGAGCAGTGTTAAACAACACACACACATACACACACACACACACACACACACACACACACATGCATGAGTTTTGTTTTGAGTGATCAATAATCATTTTAAAACCTTGTTAGATTAAATTCATTCCTATATCTCACATTATTTCACATAGCCTGAACGTGGAAAAAACTTGTGGTATCTCTTCCCAACAAATAGGAGGATGATATGCAACTTATAGGGTCTGTTAAAGCTGAAGAGCAAACATATTTTAAAAATATCCACAAAACTGGCAAAGAATGTGACAAAATGTTCGCATAAACATGATATAGTTCATTTCTATCTCATCAGCGAATGTAGTGACGAGGGACAAGGAAGTAGAATAGGTACAAGTAGACATTTAGAACCAAACGGAGTATCGTCAAACAGTATTCACATAAGATCAAAAACATTCAAAATGGTGTGTTTAAACTGATAAAGGCAATATTTAAACCAAGAAGATTTAAAGGAGAACACATTCATCCTTTTCTTAGAGACAATCTCGAAGTTGATCTACTTACTGTTCTCCTGCACAACAAGGTCCACACAGCCCGTGAGAAGTCCAATGTATCAAGTGTTTCACACGAATAGGGAAGTGATTCCACGTGCGACAATTGGTGTAAAAAAAAGAAACTGACAATTGACAGAAATGTACATTTACTTAAAATACTTGGAACGAGATGCCAGCAAAGAACCCAATAAACAAGGAAGTGGAAACAAGGAAGTTAGAGTTATCTCCCTTCTTCACTCATACACATCATCACTCGGGCCCGCCCGGATATATATATCCCGTTATCGAACGGGGTCATTCGTCCCCATTCGCATCTTTCCGTAACCTACAAGAATAGATGTCCCGGAATGGCACGAGTTGGTCACGAATGGCCAAAAGCCTTTCGCATACAACTTGCGTGATTACGTAACCTGTACGAAATGGAGAGTCGCCGATGAAATGACCTTTTCCCCGGTTGATCGGAACACTTATCCTTATCCACATTATATGGTAACTTAGGCATCTTTTGGGGTTGCATCGGTAACGGTGACGATTTTCATTTAGATATATACTATTTTCACTTGTCACACAAACTAATGATTTCAACTGAGCATTTCTCATCATTATCGTGTGTATTTATCACAGCCATGTGTGAAATGACTGAGATAGCTCACGTTTGTAGCGACCAGAACTGGGATAAACAGAATTATATCTCTGGCATGCAACTATGTGTTTAATTGATAAACATTTAATAAGAGCAAAATCATCTGCACTTCTTGTGTTTTGTATTTTTACTCCGTTCTGCAAAGCGCGCCAATGGCAATGCCACTCGATATTCGATATCCTACATTTGCAGCTAAATATAGCAGCGTACAATTTCTTCTTTTTATGCAGATCGCTCATGAAATAAATGCAATTCCTAAAAATGGTCGTGTTGCTTATTATCTGTAATTACTGCCCATTGCCTTGTTTAATTTCTAACCATGATATCACTCCCAAATGTATTATTTAATTGTCTATCATATCATAACCTTTGTGAGGTGGTGACATGTTTAATAACAGAGTAAATTTTCTGTTAAATAGCTATCTTGGCCACTTCTGAACACAGTGTTTTCCTACAAAATAGCAAAAGCCAAATGAAAATATAATTATTCTATAATTTATGTACTTTAAAGATGTTATGCAGTAGTATAGGTAATGGTGATTCTCCTGCTGCCATAAGTAGTATAGATGATAGGGTTCTGGCTCACTTCCACTGGAGCCAGGTTTATATACCTATACCACCACTACAGAGGGAATTTTTTATGCAAAAATGATGATGTGATTTAACAATCATCATGATATCATATTAAAAGAATCATCAATATTATTTAATAATGTATAAAATTTACTATAGCCCACAAAGATATTGGAAAGGTATAGGAGCAGTACAAAAATTAGCCACCCGTCTAAGGTATCTAAAGATGTGGCCAAGGATTGGTTAAAGAAACAAGCGATGTGGCAAATATACTTACCGGCACTGCGTTATACACCGAGGAAGAAGTTTGATATTTTTACAACGAATGAAGTTCATCAGGCTGACCTCTTGTTTCTTCCCCACAATAAAGTAAGACGCAAAACGTATAAATACGCTTTAACCGTAGTGGATGTGGCTAGTCGATACAAAGAGGCTGAGCCATTAACCTCAAAAGATTCAACAGAAGTAGCTAATGCACTGAGTCGCATATATAAACGCGGACCACTAAAATGGCCTAAGCTATTTCAAGTAGATCCTGGTCGCGAGTTTATGGGATCCGTAACTAAACTGTTAACAAAGCACGATGTCGAAATCAGGCGTGGTGAAAAAGAGGCCCACCGTAGTCAAGCTATCGTTGAAAGATTTAACCGGACATTAGCAGAATGTTTGTTTGGCTATCAGTATGGGATCGAAATGAAATCCGAACGATTATGATCAACCGAATGGGTGACACGTTTATGTGACTTCCGAATCTTCAGCCCCGAGGAGAGGCAAAGAACAAAAACTTCCGGATAGAGTAAGTGTAAGATATTTATACCAACCCGTCGAACTCGAAGGAGGCCTACGTTGTGCAACCGATCCGATTTGGTCCCTTAAGACATATAACATTAGTCGATTGGTTCTGAAAGAAGGAGACGCTATTCTTTATTATCTTAAAGATGGACCGGGCAGGGCATTTGTACGAGAAGAGTTGTTCATAGTTCCCAACGATACAGTATTACCACCATAACCATTAGCATAGGTAGTTACACCATCCTTATCAATCCATCTCTTTGTATCTAAGGGAGATAATGATGTCTTGTTCATTCTTAATCCATATATCCTATGATTGTAACTTCTTAAAGAGTTCATCTCGTGTTTGAACGTTCTACCATTGAATAATGATTCTTTATACTGTTCGTGTTTGATATGCTTTTTTACCACATACTTCTTAACACCCTTAGCTTTTCTTATCTCTCCATTATCGGACTTCTTTATAGAATACAACTTAGGTCTTAATCCTACATACTCCGCTATAGGGGTTCCAGCACATTCATCCCTCATCTTACCTAACACCTTTTTATTTACTATGCTGTGCAGTGGATTATCTTTTGGGTAATCGCTCGTGTCGTACATATCTATTTTTTCTGCCATATCTTTATACACATCCTCGGTTTGTATTTCCCTCAACAAAGAATCTGTGTCGGTATATAACACCTCGCATTTATCGCCGTAAAGCTTCTAAAGTTCGTTGTAATAAAAGTCATACATTAAGTGTTTTGACAAGTCAAGAATACTCATACCAACGTACACCAGTCTGTTGAATTTATATTACTCTTCTGCATATGCAACGCGGCTAAGTTGTTATCGAATATCTTGCTTCTGTTAAAAGCCGGACTGGCTATAAGTTTCCTGAGTCTTTCTTCCTCATTAGATCTGACTAATTTAACATCAACACGCTTCCTTAGATTCTCCATAGTTTTACCAAATACTGAGTTATTCATGAGCTGATATAGATTCTTTTCAAAATCGATGGTAGCTATCTTTCTTAAATCTGTATTCAGCCTTATATAGGGTTCCATCCAAGGGCTTTGATCAAACTTTAGAACTCTGTGTATTTTCTTTAGTTTCATACCAAACGATAGATATAACTGGAGATTTCTGTAGTGAACTATATATTTTGTCTTATCCATCAAATTTGGTACGAGTTTTTCTACGTTAGCTAACCTTGTATTACCCATCAAGGAGTGTTGATATTCCAACATCCAATCTTTATTAACCATTAATCTTTCGGGAGCTAGCGGATAACTGTTATGGTCTTTATGTAACGAATTTGGATATTCCAAGTCAACTTCTAGTATGTACCCTTTATTCACATCGACCTCATGGATATCATTCACATCAAACCACTCAAAACCACCCGTGGGTAAAGGTTGAATCATAGCCCATCCGTACAAATTGTTGGCGTCGAGATATCATATATGCGTGTCGGGTTTACTCGGATCATATCCTTCCACTAATTTATTATTAGCCTTAGAATACCGTTTAGCCGCCAACGATATACCACCTCTTAATCCTTTCTCAATAAGCAAGTGCATATCGTAATCGGTGAGTAGTTTTAGTTCTACACCGGTCTTCTTCAACAATGCATCCCACGATAGTCCGGGACTGGAATAGTACCATGCCGCGTCCAAGCCGTATTGTTTTAAACATGTCTTTCTAAATATCTCGAATATATCCGCGAGTAACAGTACATCGGTTTTAAAGTACAGATCGTGATAATCGCCTAAATTCTTACAACCTAATTTATCCCACACCGTCAGAGCATGTTCATAATCGGCATCGGTTATTTTAGATTCTGTTAAGTTACTATAGAATGATTCAAGGGGTGATAATTTAGTTTCGTCAAACCTAGACCAATCATCCATATATTCGTAAGGATATACACCTTTTCTCAGCAACAAATGACGACTTAACCGATCGGTATATTGATTTGTTATCGCAAAGTGATCGGGATTGTTAGCATTAGCTAAATTGTCCAGGGAAGATAACAGAAACTGTACGGAGTCTATGAATCTAAGTCCATTACTTTGCTTTATTCTGGATTTCCCATCCTTGTCCGTATAATGTATAGTTTTAGTCAACGAGAATGATATGTATTTTTCCATATTATTAGGAATGCACGTTAAACCGCCGTCGGTCTTTGAGATAGCTTGCATAATGAGATGTGAATCGTATCCTCTAAGGTTATGAAACACAACAGGCATGGGTATTGTTTGAGAATTCATTTTTGTATTTTGACCAATACACAACTGACTCCAGACCAACGACACAGACTTCTTAGATTCTTGGGACAAAACAGAGACATGTTTTCAACAAGTCTTGCAGATTTAGGAAAGACGGACATGCACTAACATATCATTGACACTGGCAACCACCCACCCGTTAAGAGTAGACCATCTTGACAATCTCCTCATGTCCAAAAAGTCACCGAAGAACTTATAGATGATTTTCTGAAGTATGATTTGATCAAGAAGTCTACTTCTATGTATTCAGCTCCCATTATCCTAGTCAAGAAACATGATGGCTCATATAGATTTGTTTGTGACTACAGAAAGTTGAATTCTGTCACTTTACCAATGTCATGGCCTCTTCCTGTTTTTGATGATGTTGTTGATCACATCGCCAATGCACAAGCTAAGATCTTCTCAACTTTAGATCTTGCTAATGGCTTCTTTCAAGTGCCATTACATGAAGATTCTAAGCATAAAACTGCTTTCGTCACCCATCAAGGCCTTTATCAATTCAAACATTTGCCCCAAGGTTTGACAAATTCTCCACTTTGTTTTCAACAGCTCATGAGCAAAGTGCTAAGAAAATTGCTTTTTAAGGTTGCGCTGATTTACATAATTTGATAATTTACAGCACAAACTTCGAAGAGCATCTCCAACATTTGGAGCAAGTATTTTACTATCTGAAACAGGCAAAATTAACACTAAAGCCATCCAAATGCAATTTTGCAACGGACAAAGTTTCTTTTCTGGGTCATGTTTTATCATGTGGAGGTGTTCAAGTTGATGACAAAAAGATTGAAGCAATTAGAACCTTTCAAGTGCCCAAATCACAAAAACAGATTCGCTCCTTCTTAGGCCTCACAAACTTCTACAGGAAGTATGTGAAAAATTATGCTCACATAGCGCTTCCACTGAATGCTTTGCTAAAGAAGCATTCAGAGTCAGAAGTAGGAAAGAAAC